TCATACCTTGAGTGATTTATTATAGTTTCCTTAAGCAGTTACTAATTTCTCAGAGATTTAACTAGACTGATTTATTATAGTTTCATTAAGCAGTTACTAATTTCTCAGAGATTTAACTAGACTGAATTAATATAGTTTCATTAAGCAGTTACTAATTTCTCAGAGATTTAACTAGACTGATTTAATATAGTTTCATTAAGCAGTTACTAATTTCTCAGAGATTTAACTAGACTGATTTATTATAGTTTCATTAAGCAGTTACTAATTTCTCAGAGATTTAACTAGACTGATTTATTATAGTTTCATTAAGCAGTTACTAATTTCTCAGAGACTTAACTAGACTGATTTATTATAGTTTCATTAAGCAGTTACTAATTTCTCAGAGATTTAACTAGTGCTAGACACAGAAAGGAATGACCTTAGTTAATCATAAACACTAGACGCTTGCCAGATGGAGAAATGGTACATACAGCAGTGTAATATCGCAACCTATTTCATAATAAGACAGGCATATAATCAGGCTAAAACTGGTACCTATCGGAGCTGGTGCTCTTTTTTATGGCTGCTGAAGTTGAGGACTGGGCGCTTATAGGATTTTTATGAGTGCTGTGGGATGGTTTCTTAATACAGCAGAACTTCTGTTACTGCAAGCACTATGGGAAAGAAAGACAGAAAGGTATCAGCAACAATCTATAGTTTTATAGTTGGAATATTTTCCACACCATCTTTTCATTTCAAACATCCAGTGCTGTTACGTGTCATCTTTCCTGTTAACATATTTATCTGTTGGTACGTGGAATGTGAGTCTTTCCTGTTGTTTTATCCAATCTCTGTACACATTTGATTCAGCCAGGCTTCTTTGGCCACTTTGCATTTGCTCACTATTTCTTTTTGTATTCTAGAGTATTCTTCTTTATCATTCTTTTTCTTCCTTCTTTCATCCATCAACTGCAGAATTTCGGATGACATCCATTTCTTTTTTTGCAACTCTATGGGTTCGTGTGATTGTCTCTTTAGATGTCTGCTGAATTGACTCACGCAACATATCCCACTGTTCATCAATAGTCTGTATAATTTCCATTGCAAATATACCGGTTTTATACAGTGACATTGTACTGGTCCTTAATTTCTTTATCCCTTCTAAGAATTCCTAAATTTAATCTTATGTTCTGTGGTGTTTTTCTAATGTTCTTTAATTTCATTCTAATTTTTCCTACAACTGGAACATGGTCACTAAAGCAGTCTGCTCCTGGTCTAGTTTTTGCTCCAACTAAGCTGCTCCTGAATCTTCTTGAAATCAAAATAGAATCAATCTGACTGCGGACATTATCACCAGGATTTTTCCAAGTCTACAATCTTCGAGGATGGTGTTTAAACCAGGTGTTACCTATTATCATGCTGCGTGACACAGCCCATGCTATTAATCTGTCACCTCTCACATTCTTTTCTCCTAGGCCATAGCCACCCGTTATTCCGTATACTTTTTCACTTCCTATTTTCACGTTGAAATCTCCAAGTACCATTGTTGCTTCACAGTTTTTGCATTGATCTATAGTCATGTCTAACTAGTCATAAAATGCGTCAATATCTTCCTCTGAACTATCTGCTGTTGGGGCATAAATCTGTACCAAGTTAATGTCAAGCGGTCTGCCACGAAGTTTTTCTAATAGTACTCTATCTGATATTGTCCAAAATCCTTTCACAGTTTTTGAGTTCCTTGGATCCAAAATAATACCAACTCCCTTACTATATTCCTTCCCACCCGAGTAAATAATTATGTACTGATCTGAATTCTTTTCCCCTGCTCCTGGCCATCGCATTTCACTAATTCCTAATATGTTGATATTCATTATCTTCATTTCCATCTTGATGTTATCCAACTTTCCGTTTTGTACGAGTGTTCTGACATTTCATGCACCAATGTTCATGATGTTTCTACCATTTACTTTTTCTACAGTGGCTGGATGACCGTCGGGTATCACCCGTAGAACATGATGCTCCCTACCGCACGAGGTTATTCCACTGGAATCCCCGTTGACGTCGTTATCTGAATTCCTATTATTTTGAGGCATGATTTTCTTGGGATAGTACAGCGGTGGTTTCCCCTTGCCTTCCGCCGGGTTGTATATGGTTTGACTGCAATAGCCTTTGTCTAAAAAGACTTACCCTGCAAGGCAGCAGGGGGGAGAGGTTATGGCGCCTCTTACCCGCCGATGGCCATGTCGTAGAGTTTTGAGGTATTTAATAGAGTTAGCTGTCCCACCAACTAACTCGCCTCCTCTCAATGACCATCACCTGTTTGGGTCCACGGCCACTAACCTCTAAATCTAGAGGCCTTTTCACCATCCGCCACCTGGTGGACGCGCCTAGTAGTAGGACAGGCTCCTACCCCACTGTACCTACTGTTTAGGTACATTTCAAAGCATAAAGAGGGGCGTACGACAAGGATGTGTACTGTCACCTGATTAGTTTTCAATATACAGTGAATATATAATGAGATCTTTAATTGGTATGCCCAGAATTGAAATTAGTGGGCACAATATAAACAATTTACGTTATGCTGATGACACAGTCTTGATATCAACAAGTCAGAAAGAACTTCAGGAAATAATAGACATTGTGGTGTTAGAAAGTGGAAGAATGGGCCTCAGTTTGAACAATGGGAAGACAGATGTAATAGTGGTATCAAAGAAACGAATTATTCCTAAGTGTGTAATAAAAGTTGATGGTGTTATTTTAGGACAAGTACAGAAATGTAAGTATCTGGGCACATGGATAGCATCAGATGGATGATGCATACCTGAGATAAGAAACAGAATAGGACAGGCAAAAACTGCATTTTATAAAATGAAAAACATCTTGTGCAATATATCCTTGTCATTGAGAGTTAGAAAAAGAATTCTCGCTTGCTACATACATCCAGTTTTAACATATGGCTGTGAATCCTGGACAATCGGTAGGCAGGCCAAACAATTTCTAGAGGCCTTAGAGATGTGGTTTTACAGAAGAAAGCTTAGAATACCTTGGACAGCCAAAATGAGCAACCAAGCGGTTTTGAAAGAGGCGGGAGCCAGATGACAACTTATCACAGACATCAGAAGGAGACAGTCATCATTTTTCGGCCATGTTATGAGAAGAGGGAAAATAGAACATGTTGTGACCACTGGAAAGATATGTGGAAGGAGAGATAGAGGAAGACAACGAGAGAAGATGCTTGACAGTCTTGTTGCATGGCATGGATGTGTGTCGGCACACGAACTGATACATGCTGCAAGAGATCGCAGATTATGGAGAGGCATGATCGCCCACGCCAGTTGGCAAGGCACCTGATGATGATTATTTTCCACACGAATAATGTCTAAATAGACACACGATATGTGACTCCGTTGCTAGAGAGTTACCAATTGTTGTCATGTATCCAAAACAGACATGGATGCTTTATTCTGGTGACGCCCACATAGCTACAGAGCAAACAATGCATTAGTGTAATGAGTATACCATTTCCTAATTTATTTCTGAGAAGGTTTTCCATTATTTGATTATTAATTTAGGCACTCTTCCGAATACCGGCCCCATATTATTCAAAGACAAAAAATCCCATTCAGGGCCTCAAGAGTGTAACCTCTTGAACCCTTTGAGGCTCTAACAGGAATGTTTTGGACAGCAAATAATATGGGGCCGGTATTCGGAAGAGTGCCTTAATTTATTATTGAAGTTGAGCAGTTTAATGAAAATTAAAAATGCTGTAACTATAAATACTTCCTTATGTTGTGTGTATAAACTTTATGCTCCGAATAATGGGCACATATTATGGCGGTCGAAAAACACACTCTGACAGGGCCTCAGTCACATGTAAATTGCGAACTTGCGGCGACTTGAATTGCGGACTTCTGGCGACTACCGCTACCGCCGAGGCTGGAGCTAAACTAGATGGCTGGGACTCACGAGCAGCAGCTACCACATCTCCTGCAGCTTCCTTCATTTTATTTGCTAGTGAGTCCCCGCCATCGGGGCGGTGGCGGAAGTCCGCAATGTACATGTGCCCGTTATTCAGAGGATAGCCAAGTATTTATTAGTATATAAGTACTTGGTAGTAGTGTAAGCTAATTAGTAGTGGTAATAGTAGTAGTAGCGACTGAAGTCACTAACTAGAAAGAGAAGGCCAGTCACAGAGATGAATGGAGATGGATGATTTCTACAGCAGTTAACCTCAAGGGATCAGAAGACTTAGGAAGAAGATGAAGACAAATCGCCATGACTTAGTGTATGTTTCCTTTAGAGTAAACAAGGGGGGTCAAGAGAGGGATCATGATGTATGGGCAGCATATGGTCTTTACAATACTGCCCAGGCTTTGTGCTATGGAGAGGATGAACTTCCTACCTTGCCATAACTAATTGGTCTCGGATTAATGCGGGTGGGTCTTGCCAACTCCATGGGTTGAGTCCCGTGCTTCCTCATAGCGCAATGTAACACTATCATCTGGAAAGACAGAAAGGTGCCAATCAGTCAATCACTATATTTTATTTTGGCTATCCTCCAAATAACGGGCACATATTATGGCGGCCGCAAAAACACCCTAACAGGGCCTCAGTCACGTGTCAATTGTGCACTTCCGGCGACCTAATGTGTGGTTTTCCGGCAACTATCGCCATTGCAGAGAGTATCCCCCTCACGCGGCATGGATTGGGGCTAAACTAGATGGCTGGGACTCATGAGCAACAGCTTCCACATCTCCTGCAGCTTTGCTCATGAGTCCCAGCCATCTAGTTTAGTCCCAATCCACGCCGGCGTGGGGGATACTCTTGGCAGTTTCAGCTGTCGCCGGAGAACCGCAAATTAGGTCGCCGGAAGTGCGTAATTGACACGTCATTGAGGCCCTGTTTTGGGCTGCCATAATATGTGCCCGTTATTTGGTGGATAGCCGTTATTTTATGTAACACCACACCCTGACAGTGGCATGTGTTGAGAGTTTACTTTTATCTTTTATCCAGGTGTGATAATGACAGTGACAGTCCCAAAATGGCAGCAGTTTATCACAGGTAAGATAGATATGTCAACATCTGTGGCTTCGGCATTGAAAACCCACTTCATAATTGTGAGGTACCCAGTTTGATTCCAGCTGCAAGCGATTTGACAGCAGACATTTTTACATTGATTTCAACAGGGGTATCAGGATCCGACAGTTCAGAAATACTGGCAAACTGCTGACTGTAGAATTGCCCAGTAAAACTAAAACAACCAAAAGATGCTAAAGTAGTCAAGCAGTATCCTGTAATGGATAGGCGGCTAACTTGAGATAGATCTAATTGTTTGTGTGGTTATTTTAGACACATGCATTTATAAATGTTAAGGCTGTTATAGTGGCTGATTCATGGGGGAATTTCAGCTTTTGAGACAAGATGCTGTTTACTAGCCAACCTTCCTTGATGTTCAGATATTTTAGATGTTGATATTTCTTTTCTTCTTGGTCCATGGTATTCAGAGAATGTTTCTATAGCATTAGCTAATTACTTAGCTCAATACTTAAATACTTAAATGTATATTTATCCAATTGTATATTAATCACTTATCTTCAAATGTAATTTTTATTTCCAGAGAGTCTTCTGCAGAGTCATTTGTTCAGTGGTCTCTGTTTGATTTCCAACCAGAATGAGGTCATCTATGATTATGGTACTTTGAAATACATTGATAAAGTAAGTTGATTTCCATTTAAAGTCAAAGTCAGAGTCAAGAGGATCAACTTAATTGCACCGGGTTTTATCCCATATTGCTCAGTCTGTCTCTGCAGAATGGCTAGCTGCCTGCCAAGAGTATCGCACAGAGCATGACTTCCGTAGCTTCAGTGATGATCCCCAGGAATCTCTGTTAAAATTGAAATGAATGACGCCGCCGTGAAGCTGATCCATGACCTTCAGAACATGGGGTAAACGGCTTGACTACTTCGCCATGGAGTTATGGGGTCATTTACCCGTTTGGTAGTAATGTAGATAAAGATGTGGAACTGGATGAAATAATAAAAATACAGATACAAAAGGCAAGAATTTTTATAGCACTAGGAAATCTGTGAAAGTTATAGGAAGTTAGAACTACAGTAAATCTCATTCACATGAATTCCAAGGGACCAACCAAAAAATGAAAAGTTTATGTTTAAAAAAATTCCATGCTAACCGATGATTCAGAATAAACATCCCTGCAGGGAACAACATTTTGTTCATGTTAACTAAGTGGGTTTTTTTAGTGAGTTTGTGGTAATGAGGTTTTACTGTTTACTAAACTTAAAATTGTTAAGCTCTAGTCAGTGCTGCTGTAAAGAGCTGTTTCAGGAAGCAGTGGGAGTACTATAATCTAAAAGGTACTGCCGTTCAGCATGGGGTTCACGGTTGGAATGCCCTCACAATAGTTAGTGGATTTTGGGGTATAGTCTGTTTCAGCTAAACTTCTAATCTGGACTAAAACTATAGTCTGTTTCTGACTTGACTAACTGTGGCACATGACTAACTGCAGCATGAACAACAATTAAAAGTTCTAATAAACTTACAAATATTCGTTAACTAGTGCCCACACAGAATAGAGATAATTAACTAGTTTTATCTTCTTCTTCTTTAGCATTCTGAGCCCTTGAGGTTCACTGCTGCAGATATCACCTGCCTCCACTCATCTCTCTAGTTAGCCTTCTCTCTCCAGTTGGTAACATCAAGTGCTTGAAGATCTCTCTGGACATTATCTGTCAATTGTCTTCATGGTTTGCCTTGTGGTCTACTACCATTCATCTCCCTTGTGTATACAGTTTTTACCTCTCTGTCATCTGACATTCTCTCAATATGCCCCAGCCATTTCAAACCCTTAGCTCTCATAAGGCTTAGCTCTCATAATGCTAATGATCAATGGTGATTTAAACAAATTATGAATTTAATTGTTGCCTCTCACTCTCCATTCTCTGCTGTTTAGATCTTTGATAAACTAGTTTTATAGAATAACTAATATGGAGCTTTGGAAGAGAACTTGTCTGTAAGGGTTCTGTTTATCCACCGTATGTGTGTGTGTTGGGGGGTGGGGGGGGGGGAGACCCACAGCCCCCTAACAAGCATGTCGTAAAAGTTGACTAATTAAGGTGGATTTTTGCTAAGTCAGAATACATCTGCCTGAGAGGGGAGTAACCAATAGTTTGCATACAAATAATGCGCATCTGTAAAATGGATATGCACACATAATTCAAGTTTTGAAACAATACTACAGTGCAGAAGTTGATGAACAGCAGTACTTTCTTCCAGAGTTTAACTTTCTGCCAGAGTGTAACTTTCTGCCAGAGTTTAACTTTCTGCCAGAGTTTAACTTTCTGCCAGAGTGTACAGATTAGTCAACATGAGGAAGAAGGGAGACAACTTAACAAATTCAGATGAATTAAGAGGTGTGGAAAAGGTGTTGGCGGCACAGGACATGATACATAATAATAAAACCTGAAAACAGTATAACTAGATTGGTTTTGTACTGGAACCAACAGGGTCAGAGACATAAAGGCATTAAAAAAACATATGGAGAAGGAACAAAAGAATGAAGTGAAAAAGATGGGGAAGACATGAAGTAAGCTGCACATGATAGCAGAAGATAAGACGAGTGGTTGATGGTTCATGTTCCATGAGGGAATAGATGGCTGAAGAAGAAAGAAGTTCTGATTCATTGTTTTAAAAAAAGTGAAAATCAGTAAGAATCCAACAATCCAATCTAACCTTTGACAATAAAGTTCCTTCAGAATAGTTCTTTCTTATTCTTTCTTCTTTGCGTTCACCAGCTGTAAATTCCGGCGGAAAGTTCTGGTTGTTCGTCCACTTCTAGACTGCAGTCCTCCTAATTCCAGAACCTGATTGTTGCGTGTGCATCCGTTTGACAGATCTGACTAATTTCTTCTTCCTCTTTTCGTACACCAGCTGTACACTCTGGCGGAAAGTTCTGGTTGCTCGTCCATTACTGAACTGCAGTCCTGCTCCAGAACCTGAGTGTTGCGTGTGCATCAGTTTTACAGATCTCATTCTCTTGAATACAGACTGTTGGTTCCTTGCCTCTCCGGCAGATGCACCCCGACTTCAAAGGAAGCTCCCCAATTAGTCGACTCTTACGACATGCTTTTGGGGAGGCAGTGGGTCTGTTCTTGTTTTCCCCACAATGGAGCCCCGGAACCCACACGGGGGTCTGACTAATTTGTATGCAGACTGTTGGTTCCTTACCGCTCAGGCAGAATAGTTCTGTTCCGAGTGTTGTGTGTCTGCTTCATCCTCCAGAGACTTTTTTAGTATCATTCATTCGAGACCCTCATGAACTGTTTGTTTTTTCATGTTACTCACATGCTATCAGAAGACTTTTACTACATCGACCTTGTTATGCATCAGTTCACCACCCATCACTGTTGCTGAACCAGCCAGTCTATCTGCTCGTTTGTTTTTATTAACTTTTCATTTTGATTTTATAGATCATAAAAATATGTGCCCAACAACATGTAGTAAAAAGCAAAAGGACCCTCTTCTACACCTGTAGGCATATTGGGCATATAGGGCTAGACCTGTATTTTGTAGACCAATCGACAGTTGGTGTGCGATAAGGTAAGCATCGTGCTGGCCGCTTTTACTTCCCAGAATTTTATCTGGTACCCACGGATTGACCTGGGAACTAAAGTCATTTTTAGAGAGAGAAAAAGTCTGCCTCTATTCTGATTTGAAGCGACAACATTCAGATCTGCAGGCGACTGGTAACAACTTATACTTTACTTTACTTAGTCGATCCTCTTCTACCTTGGGGTGTAGAGGTTTGCCAAAGAAATCACTAGACTTCTCTGTCAGCAGTTTTCTTTGTGTCTTTGTTCCATTCCAGTCCTCTGACAGTAAGGGACTGTCGGACGTTGTCTTTCCAGTGGACCCTGGTTTGCCCTGGTCTGGTTCCCTGGGTGGTAACAACAGGTGCACTTATTGCAAACCGGTTGAGATACTGCTGTTGCGGGTTTGTGTGTGTGTGTGTGTGTGTGAGATGCTGAAGCGTGACAGCAGATGCTTACCGGCATGGCACATGGTGATGTCTTGTGTGGGTAAGTATAGAGCGTGCTGCAGAGATCATTGTAACATGAAGCTTTTGTATCACCTGCAGGAGTCAGTATGTCTATGTTAATAATTTGTTCAGACGGACACAAAACAGCTGAATATGTTTGTCAACAAGAACACCCAGGAAACAACAGCATGTTTCCATTTGGGAGTGGCAGGACGGACATTTCATTTCAGAATCTATTATAGGACACATGTCAGGTGAGGAACTTTAGTTCTGTAACCGTGCATAAATCAGCTAATAAAACTGGCTGATTTGTGATAGGAGAAATTTATCGTAATGCCAAACTTGGTAATTTATGATTAATTTAAGTGATTTATATGATAAAGCAAAACCGAGTGATTTATAATTTATTGCGAGTGATTTATCATACTGCAAAACTGAATGATTATGATAATATCTCGCATATATATATATACAAATATATATACATACATATATATATACATACATACATATATATATATATTAGAATGCCCCAATAAAACTGTGTTGTTGAACAAGTTTAGAGGATTTACTCCTGTTGCTTTCTCATCCAAACAGTGGCTTTTGAATCACTGGATGTTACTATTTCTGAATAGACCACAAAAATGGACTAGAAGACAATATATATATATATATATATATATATATATATATATATATATATATATATATATATATATATATTGACCCAAAAGCCACTGTTTGGATGAGAAAGCAACTGGAGTAAATCCTCTAACCTTGTTCAACAACACAGTTTTATTGGGGCACTAATGGTTACAGGGTAACCTGCAGTCCCGTGTTAGCGGCTGATTAGCAATGTGAGTGATTTATCAGAATGCAGAATTGATTGATTTTTCGTAATATTGTTTTCAAAGAAGTGACAACTTGTTTAAAAAAAAAAGTAAAGGTCCCTTTTCCATGCCTTAAGGCGTATAGGGCATATAGGGCTAGACCTATATTTTTATAGACCAATCGGCACAAGATGGGTGATGTGGTCAGCATCACGCCGGAGTGACAACTTGAAGACAACTTATCACAAACACCAGAAAGAGAGTCATCAATTTTTAGTCATTTTACTAAAAGAGAGAAACTGAAACATGTTGTGACAGCTGGAAATATCTGTCGAAAAATAGACAGAGGAAGACAGCGTGAGAAGATTCTTGACAGCCTTTAGTCATGGCATGGAGGGGTGTCAGCTCACAAACTGATAAACACTGTTAAAGATCGTAGATTGTGGCGAGGCATGGTCGCCCTCAACAGTCTGCAAGACATTGATGATGATTCATTGTAATATAACGCTGGTGATTTCATCCTGTAGTGTGATGTTATTCATCACCATTTTTGATACAACTGTCCATCCATACCTTGATGTTAAATTGTTTCACATCTTCTTTCTTGGTTTCCTCCTCCTTCTTTTCCTGGTTTCCTCCTCCTTCTTCTTTTACTGGTTTCCTCCTCCTTATTCTTTTCCTGGTTTCCTCCTCCTTTTTTTTATGGTTTTCTCCTTCTTCTTTTCCTGGTTTCCTCCTTCTTCTTTTCCTGGTTTCCTCCTTCTTCTTTTCCTGGTTTCTTCCTTCTTCTTTTCCTGGTTTCCTCCTTATTCTTTTCCTGGTTTCCTCCTCCTTATTCTTTTCCTGGTTTCCTCCTCCTTCTTCTTTTCCTGGTTTCCTCCTCCTTATTCTTTTCCTGGTTTCCTCCTCCTTCTTTTCCTGGTTTCCTCCTTCTTCTTTTCCTGGTTTCCTCCTTATTCTTTTCCTGGTTTCCTCCTCCTTTTTTTTTATGGTTTTCTCCTTCTTCTTTTCCTGGTTTCCTCCTTCTTCTTTTCCTGGTTTCCTCCTTCTTTTATTTGTTTCCTCCTTCTTTTATTTGTTTCCTCCTTCTTCTTTTCCTGGTTTTCTCCTTCTTCTTTTCCTGGTTTCCTCCTTCTTTTTTTTTCTGGTTTCCTCCTCCTTCTTTTCCTGGTTTCCTCCTCCTTTTTTTTCCTGGTTTCCTCCTTCTTCTTTTCCTGGTTTCCTCCTTCTTCTTTTCCTGGTTTCTTCCTTCTTTTTTTTTCTGGTTTCCTCCTCCTCCTTTTCCTGGTTTCTTCCTTCTTTTTTTTTTCTGGTTTCCTCCTCCTTCTTTTCCTGGTTTCTTCCTTCTTTTTTTTTTCTGGTTTCCTCCTCCTTCTTTTCCTGGTTTCCTCCTCCTTTTTTTTTTCCTGGTTTCCTCCTTCTTCTTTTCCTGGTTTCCTCCTTCTTCTTTTCCTGGTTTCCTCCTTCTTCTGTTCCTGGTTTCCTCCTTCTTCTTTTCCTGGTTTCCTCCTTCTTCTTTTCCTGGTTTCCTCCTCCTTCTTTTCCTGGTTTCCTTCTTCTTCTTTTCCTGGTTTCCTCCTTCTTCTTTTCCTGGTTTCCTCCTTCTTTTATTTGTTTCCTCCTTCTTCTTTTCTTGGTTTCCTCCTTCTTTTATTTGTTTCCTCCTTCTTCTTTTCCTGGTTTCCTCCTTCTTCTTTTCCTGGTTTCCTCCTTCTTTTATTTGTTTCCTCCTTCTTCTTTTCCTGGTTTCCTCCTTCTTCTTTTCCTGGTTTCCTCCTCCTTCTTTTCCTGGTTTCCTCCTTCTTCTTTTCCTGGTTTCCTCCTTCTTTTATTTGTTTCCTCCTTCTTCTTTTCTTGGTTTCCTCCTCCTTCTTCTCCTGGTTTCCTCCTTCTTTTCCTGGTTTCCTCCTTCTTTTCCTGGTTTCCTCCTTCTTTTCCTGGTTTCCTCCTTCTTTTCCTGGTTTCCTCCTCCTTCTTTTCCTGGTTTCCTCCTCCTTCTTTTCCTGGTTTCCTCCTCCTTTCTTTCCTGATTTCCTCCTTCTTCTTTTCCTGGTTTCTTCTTTCTTTTATTTGTTTCCTCCTTCTTCTTTTTCTGGTTTTCTCCTTCTTCTTTTCCTGGTTTCCTCCTCCTTCTTTTTCTGGTTTCCTCCTTCTTCTTTTCCTGGTTTCCTCCTCCTTTTCCCGGTTTCCTCCTTCTTCTTTTCCTGGTTTCCTCCTTCTTTTATTTGTTTCCTCCTTCTTCTTTTCCTGGTTTTCTCCTTCTTCATTTCCTGGTTTCCTCCTGCTTCTTTTCCTGGTTTTCTCCTTCTTCATTTCCTGGTTTCCTCCTTCTTTTCCTGGTTTCCTCCTCCTTCTTTTCATGGTTTCTTCCTTCTTCTTTTCCTGGTTTCCTTCTTCGTCTTTTCCTGGTTTCCTCCTTCTTCTTTTCCTGGTTTCCTCCTCCTTCTTTTCCTGGTTTCCTTCTTCGTCTTTTCCTGGTTTCCTCCTTCTTCTTTTCCTGGTTTCCTCCTCTTTTTTTTTCTTGGTTTCCTCCTTCTTCTTTTCCTGGTTTCCTCCTTATTTTCCTGGTTTCCTCCTCCTTCTTTTCCTGGTTTCTTCCTTCTTCTTTTCCTAGTTTCCTCCTTCGTCTTTTCCTGGTTTCCTCCTTCGTCTTTTCCTGGTTTCCCCCTTCTTCTTATCCTGGTTTCCTCCTTCTTTTATTTGTTTCCTCCTTCTTCTTTTCCTGGTTTTCTCCTTCTTCTTTTCCTGGTTTCCTCCTCCTTCTTTTCCTTGTTTCCCCCTCCTTCTTTTCCTGGTTTCCTCCTCCTTCTTTTCCTGGTTTCCTCCTTCTTTTCCTGGTTTCCTCCTCCTTCTTTTCCTGGTTTCTTTCTTTTTCTTTTCCTGGTTTCCTCCTTCGTCTTTTCCTGGTTTCCTCCTTCTTCTTTTCCTGGTTTCCTCCTCCTTCTTTTCCTGGTTTCCTCCTCCTTTTTTGTTTTCCTGGTTTCCTCCTTCTTCTTTTCCTGGTTTCTTCTTTCTTTTATTTGTTTCCTCCTTCTTCTTTTTCTGGTTTTCTCCTTCTTCTTTTCCTGGTTTCCTCCTCCTTCTTTTTCTGGTTTCCTCCTTCTTCTTTTCCTGGTTTCCTCCTCCTTTTCCCGGTTTCCTCCTTCTTCTTTTCCTGGTTTCCTCCTTCTTTTATTTGTTTCCTCCTTCTTCTTTTCCTGGTTTTCTCCTTCTTCATTTCCTGGTTTCCTCATCCTTCTTCTCCTGGTTTCCTCCTTCTTTTCCTGGTTTCCTCCTCCTTCTTTTCCTGGTTTCTTCCTTCTTCTTTTCCTGGTTTCCCCCTCCTTCTTTTCCTGGTTTCCTCCTTCTTCTTTTCCTGGTTTCCCCCTTCTTCTTATCCTGGTTTCCTCCTTCTTTTATTTGTTTCCTCCTTCTTCTTTTCCTGGTTTTCTCCTTCTTCTTTTCCTGGTTTCCTCCTCCTTCTTTTCCTTGTTTCCCCCTCCTTCTTTTCCTTGTTTCCCCCTCCTTCTTTTCCTTGTTTCCCCCTCCTTCTTTTCCTTGTTTCCCCCTCCTTCTTTTCCTTGTTTCCCCCTCCTTCTTTTCCTTGTTTCCCCCTCCTTCTTTTCCTGGTTTCCTCCTCCTTCTTTTCCTGGTTTCCTCCTTCTTCTTTTCCTGGTTTCCTCCTTCTTCTTTTCCTGGTTTCCTCCTTCTTCTTTTCCTGGTTTCCTTTTCCTTTTTTTCCTGCTTACTTTCTTGTCTTCATAATATATTCATTTTCCTCTTCTTATACCATTGGCTGGCGTTATGTTGACCACATCAAACACTGAGTGCTGATTGGTTTGTAAAATATAGGTCTAGCCCATTATGCCCAATACACCTGAAGGTATGGAAAAGTTTCCTTGACTTACATGCTTCTCACACAATGCTTAGAAATGTGAAATTTTAACTTTTCATGCACGTAATCAGTACATTGTAGCAAGAAGAATGGCTAGCGGCCTGCCGAGAGCATCACACAGAGCACAAACTCCATAGCTCCACCGATGATCTCCATGGATCTCTGTAAAAATGCACTTGTGAACCGAACTGTGCAACTGTAAAATGAACCCACGACCTTCAGAGAGCAAGGCTAAGGACTAGACCACTTCGCCACTTCGTTGGGTATAATTGACCGCTCTGCCTTGCTTAATTAGAAAGTTCACAGGGTCACAGGCATAAAGGGACCTGAAAACTCACAGCAAAGAGAGAGAGAGGGATACACAGAGAGAGGCACAGAGACAGAGAGAATGAAAGAACAAACACACTTTATTTTCAAAGGCTTCAGAACGGGGGTCACAGGCCCATCTTACATTCTACAATCTGGTCTCACTCTGCATACATTATTCCATTCATGCATTATTTTAACAAATAAGTCTTAGTAGTTTCAAATGCTGGAATGTGTGTGAGAGAGAGAGAGGTGTGAGAAAGATCTGGAATAAATTACAAGAATTAGCTTGAAAAGAAAGGGAAGAGAGAGAAGGACAACAACAAAATACAGGATCACTGTTGAGACATAATACAAGAGGATGGGAAGCAGATTATGAAAAAGAAGATGAAATGGTTTTTACATGGTGCAAGAGCTCGTTCAGTGAATGTAAACAAAACATGATAAAGTCTTCCCTTGCACATTGTTTCAGCATTTATGCAACAGCATCAGGGAACCAGTGTGGTCTCACCATTAGCAAGCTACCACATGGGATCTTCGTCACCATGTTCCAGAAACCGACGATGTCACACAAGGCAATAACACTTGTTGAAGATTTTACAGACAGACTTAGATGCTAGCACGGTTCAGTGGATTCGTGTTCTGAGTAAATGTTGTCACCTGATGTTTATTCATAAAATGATTGTGACCACAGCAAATAATGATCACAGTGTTCACAGTGCTGGGTAATGCGGGTGTTCAAGGCAGCGAGCGTGCAGATTATCTTGCAGACACTGCAGTTGTTATAGCTGGTCCTGTGATGTTATCAGTGCCATGCGCAGCACTTACTGCAAAGCTGAATACAGCAACAGGTTTAACTCCATATCCCTATCTAGGCTGACGGACATGGGGATGAAACCTGGAGCTGTAAGCAATGAACATTTCACCAAGGGGCCAATTCGTTTAATTAATCAACACAGAATGGGTATCATCAGTTATTTTATGCTCGTGGAGCTTATGAGGAGAAAATCGGAGCATCTATGGATCTGTCCAAAGTGCTCTGATAATAATTCTGACTAACCACAAATCACTGGACCTTCATTAACTGATGAATCTATATTTGTTCACACCTTCACTGTTTAGAAAACGGATAACAGAACGCTGCTTCTCTTTGGTGAACGTTGAAAGTCGGGGGGCCATCTGTAAACTATAATTATTCCCCATATGGGTTCCAGAGCCCCATTATGGGAAACAAAAAGAGTAGAGTCACTGCCTCCAACAAGCATGTAGTAAAAGTCTAGGGATGTTTCCTTCGAACTCAAGAGCGCATCTATCTGAGAGATGAGGAACTAAGCCAGATCTGTAAAACAGATGTGCACACAAAACTCAGGTTCATTCCAGTCCCCTGTCAGTTAGGGACTGTCGGATGTTGTCTTCCCAGCACACCCTGGGTCGGCCTGTGGGTCTGGTTCCCTGGGTGGTAACAACAGGTGCACTTATTGAAAACTGGTTGAGATACTGCTGGAACAAGATCAAATCCTAGAACAACCAGAATCTCCCGCCCGAGTTTACAGCTGGTAAACACGAAGAATAAGAGAAAGAAACTGTCATTATGACATCATCATGTTCGTCTGCACCATGATGTCTCATGCTTAACGCCCTTAACGGTAATATTAACACGTTACATGTCGATGGCATGGTTATTGTAATTTATATCACACTTTAAGATACCTGATTAAAAAAGATTGTAATGTACCAAAAATTATAGCAATACATTAAAATGACTGCTCTCGCTCTGTGTGTGTGTGTCTCTCTCTCTGTCTCTGTCTGTCTGTCTCTCTCTCTCTCTCTGTCTCTCTCTCTCTCTCTCTTGTTATCTCTGACTCTTTTTCTCCTCCTCTCTGTGTGTATGTATGTGTGTATGTGTCTGTGTGTGTATTATGTTTGTCTGTGTGAGTATTATGTTTGTCTGTATGTGTATTATGTTTGTCTGTGTGTGTATTTGTCGGTATGTGTCTATGCGTGCATATCTGCATGTGTGTGTGTTTGTGCATGTGAGTATGTTTCCGCGTGTATCTGTGTTTGTTTGTGTGTATGTCTGTGTGTATATGTCTGTATGTGTTTGTTTGCATGTGTGTCTGTGTGTGTCAGTACGAGTGTGTGTCTGCGTGCGTGTGTCTGTGTGTGCATCTGCGTACGTGTCTGTGTGTTTCTGTGTATATGTCTGTGGGTATTCTGTGTGTATGTATGTGGGTATTCTGTGTGTATGTCTGTGTGTGTGTGTCCATGTGTATGTGTCTGTGTATTTCTGTGGGTATTCTGTGTGTATCTATGCATGTCAGTATGTACAAACGGTATGTATGCATGTTGTGTGTGTATGTGGGTGTATTATATGGGTGTGTATTTGGATGTGTATGTAAGTGTGTGTAAGTGAGAGCTGGGCCTGGGTATGCGGGTGTATGTGTGTGGGCGCGAGTGTGTGCATGCATTTTACCACCAATACTTTTGTGTTTTTTCTTGATATTCAAAATATGCATATTATTATATGAATATAACATGCTTTATTGATAAAATACAACTGCTACGTGAAAGATGTTTGTTTGAAAGGGCCTATTGTAAGACGGACCTGCACGCTCAGTTTGTGACCCTTTGAAAATAAAACTCGTTCGTTTGTTCCCCTTCTTCTCCACACCTCTCGGTCCCCTCCCAACACTTGTGTGCTTTTCCTTTGTGTATAGATAAATGTATATAAATTATTGCTGTATGTTTTCAAAATCTCTGAGAAATTGTTAGAAGACAACTGTATAACCAACCATTGTGGCATTTAACTCACTTGGAAATGCCTATTGATCGTACCTGTCCAATCATAAAATAGTCCACCAGACTGTTTTGGGCTTCGTATCTTTAGGACTATATATTTTATCACACAACAAACATAAATAATAAGGGATCCTCGCCCTCTGCCTTATACTTGTTTCATTTTTTTTTAAACATTCACCGCTGTAAACTCCAGTAGAAAGTTATGCTGGTTCTTCCACCTGTAGACTTCACTCTTGCTGCTGAACCTTAGTGCAGCGTGCACATCCGTTTAACAGATCGAGTGTTTTTGTATACTTACTGTTGGTTCGTTGACTCTGTGGCTAAGTGGATGCGAACGCTTTGTAATGCCGGGGTGCCGGGTTCGATCCCAGCTGCGGGCCATGCGCCTTGCGTTGGTTTTGACAGTGGTATCAGGGGGCCGAGCGTACAGAAAGCAATGGCAAACTACTGGACGTAAATTTGCCTAGAGAGACCACACAACAGCCAGGGGCTGCTGGGGTTGGTTTTGCATCGTCCTGTAAAGGATACGCAACTAACCTTAACTGTTGGTTCCTTGCCCTTCAGATACATGCACTCCAACTTCGAAGGAAGCCCCCAGTTAGTCGGGGGGGGGGGGGGGGGGGGGTGGCAGTGGGTCTATTCTTGTTTACCCCACAATGGGGGAGGGGATCCCCATACAGAGATCTCACTTGTTTAAAACAGATTAATATGGTTACACAAATAATGACTGGAGATTTAAATTCTTCCCCGTTGTCGATCCCTGCATTCCTTACTGCATTTCTCCAAGTGTATGGGTGAGTAGGTGAAACCTTTCTCCTGTAATAACTACAAAACGGTACTGAACAAGCTGAAGGGCATTTCGATCGACGATCTACTCCCTTCCACTCGTGAAGATCTCGGTACCTGGGATATTAGAAATATATCAAAAGGGTTTGCTGTGGATCGCGCAGTACAGATCTTGATAGACCAAAAGTTTACGTTTTTGGATGTAGCTAACTGTGGTCCTCTTTTTCTTCTTCTTGTTCTTCCATTATCCACTAGTGGAGCATAGGCCCTCAGTGAACTCATGCCAAGTCGGTCTTATCCTTTGCTATCGCATGCAGCTCCCCCCAAGTCATCCCTATCTTTTTAACTTCTTCTTCTTCTCTTCTCTACTCCTGGAATGCCTCACGGCGTCAGGACAGGAAGAGATCTCTGGAACGGCCCTTTTGTTCGCTTCGTATAAAGTACTTTTCAGTGTCTCTGATATTTCTGAGGTCCATATTCTGCATGGTCGACCTCTGGCTCTATTACCTCTGTCTGTATAACATTGCTCTTTGTGGTGCCCTGTCTTCTGATGCCAGTCTTGTTACATGGCCAAACCATTTGATTTGTTGTCTACCTTTAAAGTTTAGTATTGGTTGTGTGCCAATTCTTCTCCTGATATCATCATTCCTAAGTCGACCTTTCCTTGTTACATTTAGTATAGTAAGTAAACATTTCTGCCGTGACTATTTTCTTTCTGTCTTCTGAAGACAGTGTCCATGTTTGACATTGAAAGCAGATCGTTGGTAAGAAGCTCTGTCCAGGCTTCCTCCCGTTTGCATTGGTGGATTACTTGCCAGCTGGTCTAGTTCCTCTTCTTTATGTTTTTGGTCTGCCTTTATTTCTAGGCCCTTGTAGCAAAATGTGGTCTTGCTAACCATAAAACGATCTTTTGTTTTTCTGTTACAGCTACTTTCCAGAAAATAATGAAGATTCAAACTTGTCCTTAAAATCAACTATCTGCCGGGAAGGTCAACAAAATCCTGCAGAAGTCAGATGTGTCGGCCAAATGGAGTAAATATCGCAGCCATGCTGTAAATGGGCACAAAAAGAAGGAGAAGAAAGAGAAGGAGGAGAAGTGGAAGAAGAAGTAGAAGAATAAGCAGAAAGAGAAGGAGAAGGAGGAGAAAAAGAAGAAGCAGCAGCCAACTCTCTAAGTTTTTGGCCAGGGGAAAGGACGCAACACGCCTAGCTGAATAGTGTAACAATAAAACGTTTGGTAGTAAGGTTTTAACACAACATTCGCAGACATTGTTTTTTTTAGTAAGATAGAAAAACTTTGGTATTCGAACTTGTAAACTGGCTGAAGGTAAAAACTGACTTTAATATTTAAAAAAAACTGAAAATGCCAAAAACGAAAAGGATGCTCAGAAAATTTAAAAACTCTTAAAACTCTATCGATCAATCGATCAGTGTGTCCCTCCGGACTGATACCTAAAGGTTTACTGTACCATCCTTAGATTTTAAAATTTTTTTTATCTGAACGGCAAACCAACAAGTTAGATCCCAGATACCATGTTCAACCTCTAAAGAAGTTATAATTAGAGCACCCGTAACGGTGACACCAGCCATGTGTAACATACAGTCATATGTGGGTAAAGATGACACGACTTTGAAAAAAAAAAAGTTTTCTTTCTCCAGTCTGTAGGGTTAACATATCTGGCCAACAAGGCGGTTAGCACGACTGGCCCGGGGCCGCATTAGCTCAGTCGATAGGAGGCTCGCTTTCAAATCCAGCTGCGACTCCCTGCAGCCCACAGTCGGTGTTCGAACCGAGCGGTTCCTGTAGTTCACCCAGCCTTAGGAAATGGGTACCAGAGCTGAAACTCTGGGGTAAATGGAGGAATGTTGCTGTAGCTACGGAGTTGCGTGTGGACAGCGCCACAGGCGGACAGTTTCTAATCAGCAGTTTGTACTGGTGGCAGAGCACTTATGGTTTATAACCGTGTGCAATGACGCTGGTTCACATCTCCCGACTTTATCTGCACCTTTACGACTGGCACGGCACTGGACAGGA